TGACGATGACGACGATGATGATGATAACCATAATGATGAGAATAGTAATAGTAATGGGAATCGCAGAAATGGTCTAAATAATGGTAATGATAATAGTAATAATAATAAAAGCAAAAATGACGAAGAAGAATCAAATTATATAAGAGGATTTTTAAAAGTGGCTGATGGAGAAGGGATAAATCTAAGGAATTTTAAGATACAGGTTGCAAAGTATGCCACAATTTCAGACATTATTGTGTATGGAGAGGATGGACTTAATGAAAATGTTTTAAAAGTTGCAAAACAAGTTGCTTGGGCACAACAAATTTTAAGAGAGCAACGACCAATTGGAATCAATTATGAAACTTTTGTTATTCTCGGTATAAATTTTTTAAAAAAAAAAAAAAATGATATAATAATGCATATTATTAAATATATCATATAATAATATTTATTTATTTATTTTATAGATCCATTTTCTGTTTTTGAAAAAGATTTTCTAAATGTTGTAGCAATAGATAATAAAGGTATTTGGCGTAATAAAATTAATTTTCCAGAACAGGAAAGGGAGGAAATGAGAATTCTTACAGCAGCATCAGAAATATCACCAAATGTTTGGGTAAATATAAAAAAATAATATAAATATAAGGACTTATATATTAAATAAATTAAACATGCTAAATAAATCATTTTAATTTATAGTTAGGTAATACACAAGATGTACCAATTTCAACCGAGTTAGACCCTGCAGATTCAGCGATCTCATTGATCGATGATAATCCACACCATTTTTGTATTTGTATTGAGGCACATGATCTTGGAGAAATCCCAGATAAAGAAACGCTTCAACACCTAACCGAAGGACTTTCCACAATACCAAAGTCTAGGCCAATATCCATCAAAGATATAATTCATGTTGATTGTATGTCGTCAGCTGTAGGATGTAATTCAACAACTTCATATGATTCGCTAATCACAAAACTATTAGATCTTTGTGAGTTCATCTCAGAAAAAGCAAATAATGACAATCGTAAGATACTAATTCATTGTGCAGATGGATACACAGAGACATCACTCCTTGCGCTAACATATCTCATGTACAATGAGACTTTACGACTTCCACAAGCATACTTACGGCTACAAAAAACTCGCAGTTTCTTTGTGTACCCAAGTGATGTGACAACACTGTTAAATATTGAGAAACGTGTATTAGAAAGGAAAAAAGTTAGTCAAGATGAAAGGGACAACATAGAGATTTCAAATAAATTTTCGTGGTTTTATTCGTCACAATTTGAGGGAAGTTTTCCAAGTAGGATCTTACCATTTTTGTATTTAGGAAATTTAAGCCATGCATGTAATGCTGGTATGCTCAAGGCACTTGGAATAACACATGTATTGTCAGTTGGAGAAGACGCCAGATTGGATGGGAAGGAATTTGATATATTATATTTGGGTAATTTATATGATGATGGTATTGATAGTTTATGGAACCATTTAGATTTATGCGTAAATTTCATCGGTAAGTTGGAAAAGGTTTTTTATTTTTGAAAACAAAGCAAATTAATTATCAATAATCATAATAATAACAATAATAACATTCACATATTTTTCTATTTTTAGAAAATGCACGCAGATTGAATGGAAGTGTGATTATTCATTGTCGAGTAGGAGTTTCTAGATCAGCTACGATTACAATAGCGTATATTATGAGACATCTTGGTAGATCACTTGTATCGTCATATTTATTTGTTCGCGCAAGACGTCTAAATGTTATAATTCAACCAAATCTTAAATTTATGTATGAATTACTACAATATGAACAAAAACTTACAGGTAGAATGGGAATTAGTTGGCCTTGGTTAGCTAAAGAAATCAATGCATTAAACATGTGTTATGTTGGGTCCTAAAATATTATTTGGAGGATAGATTAGATTGACAGGTGGATGGATGTTTGAATTAGTTGTGATAGAAAAGAAGGAAGGAGTGGAGAAAGTGAAGTTAAAGAAGAAAAGAGTATATAGAAGGATATTAATTTATTGAATTATTTTTCATAAAAAACTTTTTTTAAAATTTCAAACATCTGGTATGTTTTAAATATACATACATACATATATACATACATATTATATAAATTTTTGTTTCATTTAATTAATTTTATTTTATTAATTTTTGTTAATTATTTTTGTAATTTATATTCCTTAATTAAAAAAAAAAAATAATTTATTAATTAACATAAGTGGTGTGACTTTTTTGTTTTATTTTCTTTCACAAATTTGTATATATATTTCTATGCTATTCTATCCTTAAGCTTAAGCTACTCGCTCAAAAAGGTTTTCACTTTGAAAAAGGCTGAATTTATATTTCATTCATCATTTTATGATTTTTTGAAAATTCAGTGGAATGCGGGGGTGTGTAACTTTTGTAACTTTTTAAATTTATTTAAAAATGTTTAATCAATAAAGCAAGCTGTTAATAAAAATTGGTTTCATTATTATACATTACTTTTTTATAAAATTTGTAAAGGATATTGCATTTTTGATTGTAAATTTTTTCTCGCTATGGTGCAGAAAGTTATAGGGACTAAAGTGTACTGTATATATGTAATATTGATAAAGTGTGTAAACTTAATGTATGCTTCACTAAAATTTGTTCCTGTAAACTTTACTTGTTCTTCTAGGTGATTCTCTATTCTTATATAAACATTGTCTGTAAGTAGTGATTTTAAAAATTCATTCATAGTCACATACTCCAACAAAACCAGACAAAGTGAACATTAGTATTACCAAGAATTTCAAGAATCAAAATTTAGTTATCATCACAATTAGTTTTATAATGTCCCATTTGTTAAGTGATATATAGAACTATCCCTATATAAAAAATAATTAATATGAAACTCATTTACATCAGGTCTACTATGGAACCAAAGAATTATAGCACCATTAGAAGTATTTTGAAGAGAGAACAAGGTGAAAAAATTGCTCCTTACATTTTCAAAATAAATGATACTCGAACACTTTCACAAATTTTTAAATTAATATTATTAGTAATATGGGAGACCCAAAATCAGTCTATTTGCATACAACAACTGTTAAACAATCATTATCATCAGAAAATTTCAAATAAATCCTTTATCGGAACATTTATTAAAAAATTAAGATTTTATTTCGTTTTATTATTTTGTTAATAAAAATCCAAGTTCTTCAGGTCAATTTTAAATTTCAAAGGTATTAATTTGTAGTGATGTTGGCCATTTAAAAATCTTAGCCGGCTAAGCCGTTTACTACTTAAATTGGTAATTTTATTTCTATAACAAGAAAGTAACACAGAAATCTTTTACCAAATTTAGAAATTAAGTATGCAGATTATTAGCCGGCTTAACATCACTACTAATTTTCATGTTCTTAACTAGAGTAGTATTGTTCCCTTTTGCTTTTGGAGTAAAATCTGTTTTTCAGGTAAACTTAATCTTGAAATGCCTTGCTTCTCTTAAAGTATTTGAATTGCAGTGAAATATTTTATTGTATGGATGATCCACATTTTTTGAATCAGATATTAACTTTGCTCTTTTAACAATGTTTTGCTAATGTAGAAAAAATAAAAAGGATAAATAAATATTAATCACGAACAACAACAGAATATTAGTATCTTACTTTTAAAAAATATAAAGCTTCTAGTGCACTGCGAAGACATTTAATATTTGTAAGTTGAGCTGGAAAATTGAAAGTCGGTCCCTCTAGTCCAAAATACAGTCCATCTTCAAGAAGTTCTATCCCTATTATCTGGTCATTCAGACCTTTATGTAATGACCAAAATATTAATCACATAATAATATATTAACTCTACAAACACATAAATACAATAGACCTTACCAGCAAACTGAATTCCTAATATTTTTGAATCCTGAACTTCTTCATCCAATAAATCTTCTTTTAAAAAATTATCAAGAACACCTTTCAATGAATTTGCATTCGGAAATTCCATATGAATTATAATTCTTATTGCTATGGAATGATTATTATAAGGTATATGGAATTTTTACGGAAAAAATTATAAAGCAATAATAATAATAATAATAATAATAATTTTTTATTGCTATTAATAAAGTAATACATGTCATGAGAAAAAACGTATCAAATTAACTGAAATTAACATAACTCAGTCAATATATGGTTGTTTTGGATAAAAACAACTGCCATTCGAATTTCTCAATGAGGTGACTAATTCATAAAATTCGAATCACAAGTTAGTGAGATATTATTGTTTACTATATATCGTTATGAACATTAAAACACCATTATATTACCTTTATGATACTATTCCAATAAGCCATGTTTCATTAAAGTTGGATCATTGGATATGACATAATTTCAACCATTTCGACTTCATGTATAGTATGAACATGTAAAGCAATTAATAATATTGTAGTCTTCGCCTCATATTTATCTGCTAACTCCAAGTTAAATCATCAAGAATATAATAATAAAATCAACAGTACGCAGTAAATATATATAAAAAATACAATATTTATTCATCAATTCCAAGTTATCATCCAATCAAGTATGAAAAATAATCTTAATACGGTGTGTAATGTAATAAGTCACAGAATCTGCAAGTGGATCTTTTCAATTGAAGATAAATCTTTCTATTAGAAACACATTATACAATTAGAATAATAAATAAGAAGAAAAGAAGAAAGTATGTTTATTAATATAATTTTTTTTTTTGATTTGATGCGCGAATTTTCTGCACAAATCCTGCTAATAGATTATTGGCTACATTTACACTGGATGTAACTTTATTAATTTTCATTCCCATTTAAATTGACATATACAGTATAAATCTTTTCAAATTATAATAAACAATTATTGTATATGAACTATTTTATTTATTTTCACTTCCTATGTTATAACATACACAATATAGTTTGCATGAATCTTAAGCAATGTAAAAATTATAACCAACAATAAAAAATAAAGATAAATATAAGATGAAAGTAAAAAAAGTTAAAAAGATAAATGAAGTTATCAAAGAGCCTACAACCTATTGACTCTATTTTTCTTTTTAAAATAATATCAACAGTTAATATGTTTACAAAACAATTGACTGTAATAATGGTAAGTGATGAGAATACTTCCCTATTTATTATTTAAAATAAATCGAAAATCAAACAGTTAAAAATTTTCAAGAATAATGTTGGCTGTAATAATAGTAAAACAATAAAAAATACTTGCCTATTTATTATTCAAAATAAATGAAAATCAATCAATGTTAATATGTTTACAAAAAACAATGGTAATGTTAGTAAATAATAAAAATACTTACCTTTTATTTATTATTTAAGATAAATGAAAATCAACAGTTAATATTTTTCAAGAATAATATTGGATGTAATAATAATGATGAGAATACTTACATTCTATGTTTATTATTTAAACTAAAGCAAAAATCAACAGTTAATATTTTCAAAAAAAACAATGATATTGACTGTAATAATAATGAAATGATGAAAATACTTACAGATATTCTATATTTATTATTTAAGATAAAATGAAAACAATTAATATTTTCAAAAAAACAATGATATTGGCTGTAATAATAATGATGAAAATACTCACCCCCATACACTATTTATTATTTAAGATAAAACAAAAATCAACAGTTAATATTTTCAAAAAAACAATGATATTGACTGTAATAATAGTGAAATGATAAAAATACTCACACACTATTTATTATTTAAGATAAAACAAAAATCAATAGTTAATATTTTCAGAAAAACAATGATATTGACTGTAATAATAGTGAAATGATAAGAATACTTACTTTCTATATTTATTATTTAAAATAAAATGAAAGTCAACAGTTAATATGTTTTCAAAAACAATAATATTGACTGTAGTAATAATAATGATGAAAATACTTACAGCCTATATTTATTATTTAAGATAAAACGAAAATCAACAGTTAATATGTTTTAAAAACAATGGTATCGACTGTAGTAATAATAGTGATGAGAATACTTACATACTATATTTATTATTTAAGATAAAACAAAAATTAATAGTTAATATTTTCAGAAAAACAATGATATTGATTGTAACAATAGTGAAATGTTGAAAATACTTACTTCCTATATTTATTATTTAAAATAAAATGAAAATCAACAGTTAATATGTTTTCAAAAACAATGATATTGACTGTAGTAATAATAATGATGAGAATACTTACAAACTATATTTATTATTTAAGATAAAACAAAAATCAACAGTTAATATTTTTTCAAAAACAATGATATTAGTAGTGAAATGATAAAAACACTCACACACTATTTATTATTTAAGATAAAACAAAAATCAACAGTTAATATTTTCAAAAAAACAATGATATTGACTGTAACAATAGTGAAATGATGAGAATACTTACATCCTATATTTATTATTTAAAATAAAATGAAAATCAACAATTAATATGTTTTCAAAAATAATTATATTGACTGTAACAATAGTAAAATGATGAGAATACTTACAATCTACCCATTATTTAAAATAAAACGAAATCAACAGTTAGTATGTTTTCAAAAACAATGATATTGACTGTAACAACAGTGAAATGATGAGAATACTTACAGCCTATATTTATTATTTAAGGTAAAACAAAAATCAACAGTTAATATTTTCAGAAAAACAATGATATTGACTGTAACAATAGTGAAATGATGAAATACTCACTTCCTATATTTATCATTTAAGATAAAACAAAAATCAACAGTTAATATGTTTTCAAAAATAAAGATATTGACTGTAATAATAGTGAAATGATGAGAATACTTACAGGCTATTTATTACATAAAATAAAACAAAAATCAACAGTCAATAAATATATTTTCAAAAACAATGATATTAGTAGT